GGGGGATGCCGCCCCTTCCCAGCCCAGCGCCTCCCTCCCCATTCCGGGCAGGGGGCCTACGCTTCCCGCCGCTGGAATGGGTCTCCAGCCGCACCCTGTACCTGCACCCCTCTGGACAGCCCCGTCCCGACGGGAACGGACGGGGGGTCGGTGTTTCCGAGCCCTACCCAGGCACCTCCCCGGAGCTGGCCGCGTCCCAATCCTCCAGGGCCCAGGCGGGGCTTGGGAAGGATCGGGTCCCGATCATAATAATGAAAAAAACCACCCCGACTAGCATTAAGTGAACACTTAGTGTCAGGTATCTACCATGCAGACCACTGAATTTAAACACCTCTTGAGAGGTACTGTTACTTCTTTAAGGAGTGAAGTAGCAGACCCAGAGGTGGAGTGACTTGCCCAAGGTCGCACAGCTAGTAAGCGGCAGATCTGGGACTCGAACCCATACCTCAGAGGCCAGACTACATGGCTACATGTCCAGTGGCTTCATGGCTCAGATGTCCCTGAGCAGCTCCTCCACCTGCTGCTCCCCCCCCCCCCCACACACACACACCATACATACTATCTGGGCCACACCTGCTGGTCTTTGCTTTTCCCACACCCCCACACCTACCCCCCAGAGTTCAGCAGACAGCAGCCTCTTAAGCAATTAAGCTGTCCCCATGTTTCTTCTTCCCTCAGTGGGAAAGCAAGGCCAGGGTATCTGGGTCCTGAGAATAGAGTGACATCTTCCGGGGAGAAAGGCAGGGGGCCAGGATGCTGGAGTCCCATGCCTGCTGGGTCCCCCTGGGAAGCCTGGGCCCATGCCAGGGCAGTAGGCGTTCTCCCCGGAAACACCCAGGAGCTGGTTTTTCAAGACTGAATCAGAGGCCTCCCGTCCTCCTCTCCAAAGCAATACCCTGCTGGACAAGGGAACCTGGGCGTGGTACCCCCTCTCCAGCTGAGCTTGTGTGAGCTCCCTTCCCTGCTTCCTGCTCCCCCCCTCCCACAACCCCCTAGGCCTCCCGTCCTCCTCTCCAAAGCAATACCCTGCTGGACAGGGGAACCTGGGCGTGGTACCCCTTCTCCAGCTGAGCTTGTGTGAGCTCCCTTCCCTGCTTCCTGCTCCCCCCCCCACAACCCCCTCTCCCCCCTCACCCATTATAATTCTGTGTGGCTGTAGGGTTGCTAAGTTTCAGGCCTTTCACAGGGAAGAGAGGATGGGGATGCTGGAATCCCAGCTAACCCACTCAGTGCTGGGGCTGAAATTCTTCTTCTCTGGCCCTGTGTTCAGGTGTGAGGGGAGCCTGAGAACCAGGGGAGAGGGTGGCAGGTACCACCTCCACGGCATACGTGTTCTGAGGATTGGGGCCTCAGATAGCACTCAGAATGAAGATACAAAATATATTCATTCATTCTACAAATGTTTATTGAGCACCTACTCTGTGCCAGGCACTGTTCCTGGCACAGAGGATTCAATAGTAACAAGACAAAAATCTTGGGGAGCTGTCATTCTAGCAGGGGAATCAGACAGCAAACAAGCTAACACGTAAAGAAGACACCTACAAAGGATGATAAGTGCTATGAATAAAATATGAGGGGGTGGCATGATAGAAACTCTGGACAAAGGGGGCTCTCAGAAGAGGTGACTTTAGAGCTGAGGCCTGAATGACAAAAAAGGAACCAGCCCTGCAAAGACCAGGCAGAGGGCACAGCCAGGGCAAAGGCTCTGAAGCTGGACCAAGCTTGGAATAGGGTGGCTGAGGCAGGAGATGCAGCCAAGGTGGCGATTCTGTGAGGCAAGGGTCACATTAAGAAAACTGTTGTAAAATTTGAGGCAGGGGGGTAACACGATCTGGTTTACATTTTAAAATAGAGACATGGAGTTAAATAACAGCCTAAGACTGGAAGACAAGAGTTCTGCCAGGGCAACATGTAATTAAGTTCATGGGCTGAAGCTGTCTGGACCCCAGGGGCAATTCTAAGATGGTGGGGCAAACTTGGGAGGCTGCCTGGAGGAGGTGGCCTAGCGTAGGCCCTGGCAGGCAGAGAGGACTGGAATGTTCCTGGGCAAGGCAAGGGAGGAGGCAATATAATAACAATAATAATAACAGCTTCCTTAAATTGAATGTCAGGGAAAGTGCTAAGCAGGTTACATGCATAATCTCTCTGAATCCCACAAGCACTCAGAGACAGGAATTCCGTTCATTTTTCAGATGAAACTGAGGCCCCTTCAAGTGAAGTGACTTGCCTACGGCTACACAGCTGGTAAGTGGCAAAGGTGGGATTTGAACCCAGTCCACCACCTCACAGGTGAGGACACGCAGCCATCCCGAACCAGGGTAGTGAGTGTGGGCAAAACGAGTAAGGAGGTTGAGGATAATCACCAGCATTTATAGTGTGTGCCAGGAACTGTTCCTGGCACAGGTAGGGTTTCCTTAGAACTCAGAGAGCTTGAGATACTTGCCCCAGGCCACACAGCTATGAAGTGGGGAGGCCAGATTTCAGACTCAAGCCCTTACTTAGCATTCTGCCTTCCAGTGTATGGAGGGGAATCAGAGGAGGTGATGATGAGTATTTTTATTTTTAATCATTGAGTGTAATGAAATAACTTGAGACACTAATGGTTTATCCCAGTGGTCGGCAAACCGCGGCTCGCGAGCCACATGGGGCTCTTTGGCCCCTTGAGTGTGGCTCTTCCACAAAATACCACGGCGGGCGCACACGTACAGTGCGATTGAAACTTCGTGGCCCATGCGCAGAAGTAGGTTTTCGGCCTGGGCGAGTCTATTTTGAAGAAGTGGCGTTAGAAGAAGTGGGGGGTGTCGGTTGGTCGGGCGACAGGAGACATGGCGCAGGCAGGCTGCGGGATACGCAGCGCGGGGGAGGCGCATGATTCATGCACGAGTTGAGAATGGGAGAGTTGGAAGGGGTTGACCTCAGTGAACGTACCTCAATCAGATTGAGGACGTTTTTAGCAAAGGCCAGTTTAGGAGTACCCTAATTAAGTTAATAACAATGTACCTACCTATATAGTTTACGTTTAAAAAATTTGGCTCTCAAAAGAAATTTCAATTGTCGTACTGTTGATATTTGGCTCTGTTGACTAATGACTTTGCTGACCACTGGTTTATCCATTCAGAATTTATTTTTTGTCAAATATTCAGTTAGTGCCTACTGTGTGCTAGATCCAATGATGGGTACTATCAATGAAGTAACCAATAAAAGACTAGTATTAAGCCCTGGTCGGTTTGGCTCAGTGGATGGAGCGTTGGCCTGAGGACTGAAGGGTCCCAGGTTCAATTCTGGTCAAGGGCATGTACCTTGGTTGCGGGCTCATCCCCAGGAGGGGGCGTGCAGGAGGCAGCTGGTCGATGTTTCTCTCTCATCGATGTTTCTAACTCTCTATTCCTCTCCCATCCTCTCTGTAAAGAATCAATAAAATATATTTTTTAAAAAAAGACTAGTATTAAGGATATATAGTATTAGTATCCAGAATATATAAAGAGTTCCCACAAATCAATAAGAAAAAAAGACAAGCTGTGTAATAATTTATGTATTTATTTTAATGCTTCATGAAGAAAGTTTTATTTATTTGTTTACTTTTTAAAATGT